AGAGGCTGGATTAGTTTTATTTAGTCATGGATAGAGGTCTGTATGAGTAAAATTAACCTATTATTTATTTGTTACAGTGAATACATCATCAGTGGCAAAAAGAAATGTTCATACTGTAACAAGACAGTGGGTTCTCAAAGGGCTTTGAAGGCCCATGAACGTCTACATACTGGAAAGGGGATCTTCCAGTGCTCTGTTTGTGGAAAAACCTGCCTCACAAAGGAAAGGTTCATAGTTCACTTTAGAATTCACACAGGAGAGAAACCTTTTGAGTGCTCACTCTGTGATAAGAAATTCAGTGACAATTCAAGTTTGAAGAGGCATGAAAAAAGACATAACCCTGATATGCCTTATCACTGTATGAGTCCAAGAGGAAAATCTGGTACTAGAAAGCAGCGGGTGGACTTAAATATTGCTCAGAAATTGGAAATAATTAAGAAACTGGATTCTGACATATCAGTGGAGAGCTTGTCTGAAGAGTATGGAGTTACAAAAGAAACAGTACTTGATATTTATAAGGCTAAAGATAAGATCATGGACTTTTATGACAAGTACAGTGTAAGAGAAGGTTCGCAGGAAGATGTCCAGGATTGTAGTGGAGTGGAAGCTAGGAAAAGAATAAGAATGAGGTAGGTTATTTTAATTAATAAATTGTAAATTCCCTTTATATTTTAGAAATAGCTATTGATGAACTAACACACACACTCTTTATCTCTGTCTCTGTCCATGTGTCATATGGTTAGGGGGGGGATGAGATTTATTGATTACCTTTTTTACTCTTGGATGATGAATTTACATTTTAGAATGTTTTTTTGTTTTCTCCTGTGATTGAAGAATTTTCTACTGAAAGCCAGGATTAGTATTATTTAGTCATGGTTAGAGGTCTATATAAGTAAAATTAACCTATTATTCATTTCTTACAGTGAATACATCATCAGTGGCAAAAGGAATTGTTCATACTGTAACAAGACAGTGAAATCTCAAAGGGCTTTGAAGGCCCATGAACGTCTACATACTGGAAAGGGGATCTTCCGGTGCTCTGTTTGTGGAAAGACCTGCCTCACAAAGGAGAAGTTCCTCATTCACTTTAGGATTCACACAGGAGAGAAACCTTTTGAGTGCTCACTCTGTCATAAGAAATTCAGTGACAATTCAAGTTTGAAGAGGCATGAGAAAACACACAAACCTGATATGCCATATCACTGTACAGTGTGCAAAGAAAATTTTGATTTAGCGACTGTTTACAGGGAGCATTTAAAATCTCATGCTGATTCCAAGAAGTTTAGCTGTGCAAACTGTGATATGAAATTTAATTCAAAGGGCAACCTTTTACGCCACATCAAGATTCATACAGGGGAAAAGACCTTCAAATGTTCACTTTGTGACAAATCCTTTAATCAGAAATCTTATTTGAAAAGGCATTTGAGGATTCACACGGGTGATAAGGTATCATGTTCCCAGTGCAACAAAACATTTAACACCCCTTCTAATCTCAGGATACATGAAAGGGTACACACAGGTGAAAAGCCTTATGAGTGTTCATACTGTGGCAAGAAATTTGTTCATAGTTCAAATTGCAAAGTGCATGAAAGAATTCACAAAAATGAGAGACCTTTTGAATGTGTACCCTGCAAAAAAAGTTTCCATACAAAAGCTAAGTTGGAGAGACATGAAGAAACTCAAAGACATAAAGAGGTACACAGCAAGGTTCCTCATGTTCGTTTGGGAAGTTCAGAAGGCAAAGAAAAATCAATCAGTCCTGCACCAATAAGAAAATATTTCAAGCTTGAGCAAAGTGAAGAGGCAGATAAATTTTTGACTTTTGGGCAGGAAGAACCGGAATCTTTCACAGACGATAGCAATTTTATGCTTGACTCCACTATAAAATATAGTCACTCTGTGCATGGCTCTCCTGAAAAAGGTAGTCCCTCTATCTGTAAATCTCCCATGAAATATAGCTACTCTATGCATGAAACACCCCCAAAACATAGTTACCTGATGTATGAATGTCCACCAGAGGACTTTCACTCTAAGCCTAATGCTGATGCAGAAATTAGTCAGTCTAAGTGTGAATCTCCATCAAAGAATAATCATTCCAAGCATGGATCCCAACCAAAGAACAGTCTTTCCAAGTGTGAGTTTCGCACTGGGGAAAACCGACCAAAGAAACTAGTTCAGAATAAGATATCCTCTTTTTTTCCAACCAAGGAAATAATTAGATCTGAAAAGGAGCTTCACCCAAAAAAAAACTTCCCTGATGCTACTAAATCAAAGGACGACTGGAGAGTTTTTGTTTCTATATTGATTGTCAATATGGAAGCTTGTTTGAAACGCCAGGACTCAGAGAAAGGATGATTAGTGTCAGAGTAAATGAGTGAGTGAACCTATATGCACATGATTTAGTTAACTTACAGAAAAGTGTACAGAGTTGTTTCTTTACGCATTGTGATATTGCAGTAGGATGTGCTTAGTCTTTATGGAAATAAAAAATCTTGTTATTTGTGTGTGTTTACTTAAATATTCCAAGGTGATAGATTGCTATCAGTAAAGTACATTGAGGTAGACGGTGACTACCAGAAATATCCAAGCAGAAACTCAGTCTCTAGAAGACATTGTTACTCTCCCAACTTCTTCAAATTCATCAACTTTACCCCTACAAACTTCTTCATCAAACACCCCAACCTCCCTTATTACTACCTTACAGCCTTATTCTCCATCTCTCCGTAATACTACCCCTCTCAACAACACTCCCGCTTCCACACGCACCCATCCTTCTACCACCACCAACCCTACAAATATCTCAACTACTCTATTTAGCCCAGCTAAATGGGACCGATTTTTCGTGATCCCCCCTACAGCTCCTTACTCAGGCAACACTTCTCTTTCAACAATGTCTCCAAAAACATGTAGGCAGAGTCCCTTTCGTACCCGACGCGATCGCTCCCGTCTCGTAACAGTCAGATCTGAAGCTGAAGCTATAGCATTATCAAAACTAACTGATCTCTCTGGCAACCCCATCCCTGCAGAACCTCATCCAACTCTTAATACTTGTACCGGAACTGTCTCTCCCAGCAAACTGCCCAGTCGATACCAAAGATTGGTCAGATTGTGGAGAGTACTTGCTCGGCTGCCTCAAAGACCAGGACGTGATATCAGTACATTGCTACTCCATTCCTCCTAGAGGTCATCGAAAGAAACCCACCAACATTGCCAAAATTACTTTCAGTACACATGACCTTCCCATTCGTATCTACATTGGTGGACAATCCCTCCCTGTTCAACCATACCAACCTCCTCCCCGTCAATGTCAAAATTGTTGGCGATTTGGACATCCTGCCAAACACTGCCGCTCCACAGACCGATGCCCCTCTGTGCCCAACCCGGTCATAACAGATCAAACTGCCTGCACAAACACGCACATGTGCTAACTGCGGCGGCCCCCATAATGTATTTTATAGAGGCTGTCCCACTTACAAGTTCGAGTCTGAGGTAGCAGCTCTCAGATACAAAAATGGTCTCACTCTACGTGAAGCCAGACAGGAAGCACGCCGACAAGGTTTCTCTTATACTCCCTACTCCAGTAATGTCGCTCGCTCTGCCCCTCCCCCTCCACCTCAAGATGTTCCTACACCCTCCCCTATACCTACTTACTTCCCCACTTCACCACTTCCACTACATTCAACCTCCCCCAGTCAAATTCTTTTGCCACTCTAAATCCAGACACCCCAATCTCAACCACAGCTCCAATCTCAACTACAGCCCCAACACCATCCCTCTCCCTCCCCACACTACCCGCAGTAGACAGACAAAACGTTCCACCCTTCTTCCCCTACCACACACTCACCTCCACCTACCTTTACCTTTACTCCTCAGACACCAGTCTCCTCTCCCCCCCCCTCATAAAAAACCTTTGTCCCACAAAACTCTCCAACAAACAACAAAAAAGACATTCAAGCTATATGCTTGAGACACAAAATTCCATAACTCATGCTCCCTCCACACTTGAAGTGATTGCCGATATCCATACCCCTCCTACTCATATTCCCCTACACCCCTTCCTCCTCCTCCCTCTCAACACAACCTAACCCCCTCAATTCCGTCCGCCACCGATACCCATCCTCCTGAAATCCATCCCCCTCTTACTCATAGCACCCCTACACCCTTCCTCCTAATCCCTCCCAAGACAACACATCCCCTTCAACTCCAACTATCCATCCTTCCGATATCCATCCTCCTACCACTAACATTCCCCCGACACCACTTCCTCCTACTCCCTCCCAACACAACCCACCCCCTTCAACTCCAACTATACGCACATTCTCACTCGTCACAACACCCCTAGCCCCCCCCCCACATATTCCCCAACACGTACCGGCGCTTAGTCACATAACATAACCAACATGAAACTCCAACACTGGAATATTCGCAGCTTCCGTTCTCACAGACCAGACCTACGCCATATCCTTGCTTACAACCCGTTCTTTCTCAGACGCTTAAATATCCTTCACTTGATCTATTCCCTTACCTAAACAACCATAACCCTTTCCCTCATACATATACATAAAATGTTTATTTATTTATTTCCCTAGTTGTTTATTTATGTATGTATATAATCTAAAACACTTTGCATTTTTAAAATAGGAGCACTCTAAACTCACACAATAGGATTTGGCTTCCGTTGTATCCACATAAAAAGGCCTCAGTGCACCAGACCTTACATTTCATTAGCCTGAAGTTTGGGTGAACGAGGATATCACGCCCAAAGGGATCACAGACACAGACCATTTGTGCGATTGTGTGTTCAAGGAGGTTATGTTTTTGGTAGCGTTGGTTAGAGGCGAGGCTTCCATGGTGGCACGGGAGGCACCCCCCCCCCCCCCACTGCAATCTGATTGGCCACCCCACATGCGCCCCCAATGGTCCATTGTCCCTTTATATATTATGTAATATTCATATATTAATATACGGCATTAATTTATATAAGATATGATACAAAACACAGCAAAATGAAAACTTAAACAATGTGCAACTGCACAATAAAATATTGAAGTGGGCATTCTTAATTTCTGTTACTTTTGGGTGCCGCCCCCCCCCCCCCGATTTATAGCTGTTACCCCCAACAGAAAATTCTTTGACCTGCCCCTGTTGTTGGTTGATTAGTTTGTTACTTGGGTTGCAGGGTAACAAAAGTTAATGGGAGATTTTTGAAAAATATTTTTAATCAGATGTATGTCTCAGCCTAATTTAGAAGCCATTGAATTTTAATGGTGATCAGATTATGATCCGGATCCAGGATGTTTTGAAAGGATTGAATGAGTTACCCCTATTACCCTGGGTAACTGATGCATCTGAAATGATGGATCATAACAGTAATGATTAGAATGATAATAGTAATTATGATTAAGTTATCCCTACTGCCAAGGAATCGACATTACCTTGCCAAGGAGGTTAAGTTGACAGACATCATCGTGGACTTGAGAAAGAGTGATTTTATTGTAATTCTTCCTGTAAATATTTTATGGCATCAGTGACCTTATTTTCTTGGCGGAAGTATGCGTTTCCTGAGTGCTTTTACTTAAATGTTTTATTAATTTAAGATTTCATATATAACATGAATATCGATATATCAGTGCAGTGACACGAGCTTAGTGATGCTTTGTTATGGATGAATATTTAGATTAACACATTCATAGACGCATTAACGGTCAAGTGGTGTGAAATAACCTTTGGATACGCATGCATTCAAATAATCAGAGCCAATGCATTAAAAATTGTGGCCAAAAAAAGAGCAGTTTCTCCAAAACCTTTAAATTCACGCTTATAGTTTTCAGATACGGATATTTCGCTAATTTCGCAATTCAAGTTGCGGTGTTTGGTGAATAGTTAAATGGGCATTTCTTTCTCAGATAATTGCAGACTTTTGAAAGACTTTTTTACTATTTTGATGTGTGATCTTTGTGATATTGCTCTATAACACAAAATACACCATATTTTTTTTGGTTTCCAGGAAGTATCTTTTTGTAGTCCTTAATAGGAAGTGTTATAAAAACGTAATTTTGTGACATCCAAGACCATTGTCATTGATTAGTCGATAATTACATCAATAAAATTGTGCCCCAAATTGGTGTTGAGCACAGAGTACTTAATGTCAGAAGACCAAGTTCTGCCCTGGCGTTCTTCGAAAAACAAATTGGCATACGTGAGCTGAAGCCACTCCTCAAGGATTATGGTCTGAGAAGCATTTTCGTTTGTAAAGACAGTTGATTACTAGATTTGAAGGAAGGATATCCACCAGTACCTCGAAACTACTTGTACCGTGTTTGGTTATAAATATATTTAATATTTTTAAAATAAGTTACCGCCCCCCTTCCCCAATTCCATGTCCATTTTCGAGGGGGGAGGCTAGGAGACGATACTGGAGTCCAGTGTTGGGGCTCTCCCTACCTGAGCCCCAGCACTAGCCTTCATCATTTTCGCTTGGCCGTTTTTTTCCCTCCCACTTTACTTTTTCTTCTCTTCGAACCCTTCTTTTGCCTACTTCCCAAAGTGTATGCGCCGAGCTGAAAGGATCAAAGGCTGGCATTGGATGTTATAGGCACGGCATTTCCCTCAACCCTCACGGGGATCCTGAAATGTGAACCGTTTCTCTTATTCGCATATGTCAGGCCTACCATGCCAATGATGGTTTTGTAACCTTAGTAGGGCATTGAAATTGGGCTCTCCATGATCTAGCCCCACTGCCTTTAAGTTTTCCGATTCCGTGACCCCTGGCTCTGTTTTGACCAGACTGAACACTGCTACGACCTCCCTCTCCTCGATTCCACGTTGTCTTCTCAGTCTATTCCAGGTCACCTTCCCAGGTCATTACTCAACCTTCAAAAATCCATCCTACTCTTTCCCAACATCCTTCAGTCCATATCCTCATCCTCCACAGTTTTCTTTTTCAACCCCCCTCCCCTCCCATGTTGCTACTATTCATATTTAGTATCTGCCTTCCCGTATTACTGCCTAACGCCACACCCACTGCCTCTTCCTCCCATTCTCATCCTGCAACCGGTTCACCTCTACAAGCCATTTGAGATTTCTTTTTAAGGCAGCTAAGTGGCATCGTTGACAAACAATCCTCTTAGAACAATGTCTCCAAAGACAAGTAGGCAAAGTTTCCTTCTGCAGTCATCCCAGTTGTCCTCGCCTTGTCACGGTTTCATTCAAGTCCTAAGCTCAAGCATTATCTACACTGACTTGACTTCACAGGAAAATCTGTTCCAGGCAAGTCGCACCCGTCCCTTGATAACTGTATCGGAACTGTCTTCATCTCCCAGCTGATTTGCCCTGTCTACGACAAGGATTGGTCTAACTATGGAAGTGACTTGCTCGCCTGCCTCGTTGACTACAATGCAGTATCTTATGATGATACACTATACCCCCCCCCCTAGAGGTGGCTGTTAGTCCTTCACCAATATTGCCAAGATAACTCTCAATAGACAAGACCTTGACCTT